CTTTCGGCATACTTCTTCATCTTCTTTTCTTCACACTATATTTTTCCGTTCTCTGCAAATTCTTCGTAGGATATTTCGAAATCACTGCTCACGGTCATCATAAACCCTTTGCAAATTCCTCAAGCGTCTAAATTCTTCATCAGTGACTAGCCAAGGACGCGTTTGAGTGGAACCATATCGGGAGGGATGATGATTGATATATTCAACAAAAATAACATGTACAATTAATACGTATAAAACCGTAGGTAATTAAGTCGTGCTTGTGGTCTTTATTAAGCCCACAAATCATAAACAATGAAATATTTGCCATACTGAACCGTTTCACAGGTAGCACTCGTTCACCAACGATGCCCACTGGAACTCTTCTAGTGCTCGTTACGCTTCTCAACGCACATAACATCTTCGGTCAGTGTCATTTACAGATTATTTTCACATCTGTGTAAGCTGTAAGCTGAAATATTTTCATATTTGTAAGCTGAAATGTGAGAGCTTCGATCGAATAGTGATCAATGAATTTGAGATAGTTTGATATCGTCAGTTAACCGTTCAGAAGAGAAATGGAAACAAGCATCTTCAGGTGCCAGCATCAAAACCAGACCTGACCAATCCCAAAAGACGCGTTAGCCAAATTTTGAAACGGTCTNGTTTCAAAATAAATTACTTTTGCATAATTCAGTTAATGTATTTTTTCATGCTGGAACTGCGAAATGGCATTTTGACGGGATGCCATTCTCGAGTAGTAATTAAGATAGCTCGATTCATAATGACTTCATGTCGATCTACCCTGTTCAATTTTATTAGCCGCTTTAGGAGGACACAACATGTAAGTGACGCAGTAGTCGGTCGGGTTCAGTGAAGAAAAATTCTTGATCCCATAGTTTGTTGAAAATTAGGTTCCAGTGTTCGAGTTTTTATTTTCCTGATATGTTTCTATTGAAATTAACCGATAAAATTGTGTTTGCGAATGATGAAGCTGAACTCTAAATCACTGCAAGAATACGGTCTGGCTGCGGATTACTTTCGGCCTGCAGCGAGTGATAAACCAACTCATTGTACCTTTTCAAAATCGACCATTATAACTTTTTGAATTATCATTGCTTATGAAGAAGATTGATCGGCTGGCAATAGCACACGTTCGTGCAATCTGCTAGCCGAGTTTCAACGTGCCAGACAGATATAGTTGAATATGAAAACCGAAAAGTCAAGAAAATTTTCTGTATTATCCAATTTTTTCTTCTACTCACTTTTTATGTTAACTTCTGTTTTTTCTGTTTTATTGAGCGAAAATTTCCTGCAGTGAATATCGTAGTTAACCTCTCCTGACTCCCTCGATTTGTCCTCTTTAGTTGTTTTGCATTTTATTGGTCAGCGTAGAATGTCAAAATAGGGTTTGCAAAATCTCGATGGTTTTTCAATCCCGGGATTATCCCGGGATCGAACAACTTTTGAAATATCGATGCGTGACTTGTTTAAACACATTTTTCGAAACCAGTATATTCATAATTAATCAGAAAGGAGTTAATTCAACAAATTATTGAACAAATACAAGAAAACAAATTATTCAAATTCAAATTAATATTTCATATAAAGGTACTAATGGTCATGTCGCAAGTCATAATGCAGTTTCTATGTCAATTCTAAGGCATCTTGTCATCTCTGGTCTAAGCTAATAACAGTTCACTTGCATGTGAATATGATGTTCTTCATTCTCAAACACCTATTTGCAATGCTTCAAGTCCACTTTCTGGCATTACTAACATCTGCTGAATTCTGGCATTTCAGAAATTTGGACTTTTTCTAAAGAAATGCATCGCATAAATTAAGTCGTTTGAATTTTGAACAAAATAAAATTTCAGAGTTTATCTAAAAAGCAAATGAATACATCCATAATGTATTTTCATCGAGCCATCGAGCACTTATATACTTAATAATTTTGATCAGAAATCATGGAAAGTTGCTTGATATTAATGCTTAAGATCCTTTTGAATGGAACAATTTCGCTCACTTCAGTAATGATCTCTCACAATGTGTGATCTCAGTGAGAATTTGTGCACATTTTGATAAAATGAAAATGATTCCAAATACCGAAGTCAAGTGACTTGCAGTCTTTAGAACGTGCACTTCAATTAACAGATAGAATATTGAAATTGAACAAATCGCATAAAAGGAAACAACTCAAAATTTCGTTGAATTTTATTGCTCTTGGTTCTCATCAGAAAATGTGATCATCTCCGTTAGTTTACCTAGAAACCCATCCAGATGAACATGATAAAAATTAATGAAGAGCAGAATAATCATTTGAATGTTCAATGAAATGCTAAGCAAAGGTTCATCAAGCTGTCGTTGTTGATCGTGCCATTCATCTGAGATGCGT